TAAATTTGAACAAAATAAAAAAATAAAAATAAAAACAAAAATAAACAAAAATTTGGAAAAAAAAAATTAAATTAAAAGTAAAAATAAAAGTAAAAAAAATTGAAAAAAAAATAAAAAAGGAAAAACAGTTTGAAAAAAAAACGAAAAAAAAAAAATTAAATTAAAAATAGAAGTAAAAAAAATTGAATAAAATAAAAAAGGAAAAAACAAATTTTGAAAAAAAAAAACAAAATAAAAAGAGAAATAAAAAAAAAAATAAAAAAAGGAAAAATACATTTTGAAAAAAAAACAAAAAAAAAATAAAAGTATAAGAAAAAATTGGGGAAAAAAAATAAAAAGGAAAAAATTAAAAAAATTAAAAAAGGAAAATCAAATTTTGAAAAAAAAAATTTGAATAAAACAAAATAATACATTTATTTTTATTATTTTGGTTTTTACATTTTTTTGTTTTTTTTTCAAAATTTGTTTTTTCCTTTTTATTTTTTTTCGATTTTTGTTACTTTTATTTTTATTTTTAATTTAATTTAATTAATTTTTTTTTCAAACTTTGTTTTTCCTTTTTAAAATATTTTTTCATTTTTGTTTTTATTTTTATTTTGTTCAAATTTTTTTTTGATTTTTTTCCTTTTTTGATTTAAAATATAGGACCGTTGAGACGACTATTAGTATTAGCACTCTAACAATATCATATTTTAACAGTCCAATAGGGTCCAGTGCAACAATCATTGACAAAAAGTTCAATTAATTATAATTATTGTGATAACTTATACTTTTATAGTTGCAACATGTAGCTTTCCCCTGTATTGATAGATACTTCGTATTACAATTATTAATCGTTTACTAACTCATCATAGACAGTTACTAATATGAAATGGAATTCACTGAAGATGAACTTACCATATTATATTTTCTTGGGCATAGTTTTTTTTTTTTATAATTTAAGTCATTTATAAATGTCAGAATAAATCACTGATAGTTGTGATATATCATAGATTTATTTAAACGATTTTACGTCAGATTACAATATTTTTTAAAAACAGTGTATGCTCAAATCAACAAGTCAAAAGTCGATTGTTGTTACACCGACAACTATCAAAAACGTAAGTGTGAAAAATATCAGGCAACATTTTTTTAAATTTGTATCAAAATAATCACGCTGTATATCGTGCACATATTATGACCGTGACGATAATACGTTTTGCATGTTGTGTTACGTAATCGATGAACTGAACTAAAACCGCATGCTCTCTTATAATCTCAAACGGTCGCGCAGCTTCCGAGAAGCCCTAGAAAAAAGAAATGAAGAAAACAACCGTGAAACTACTCGTGTTCAAAATATCGTGTTTTCTATCATTACAACACACCGCAGAGCAATTTGTGCTCAGAGCACTATAATATTAAGGAAATATTATTATTACAAAAATATTAAAGAAATATTATTATTATTATATCGTTGTTGGTTCAGGAATTTATAGTGTCTCTTTTACGCGCTGTATATTATGTTTGGAGTTGTGTGACATCGGGAGCGTATTAAAACTTATCAACTCGCGATAACATAATGTATTAATGTTAGATATAACTTCAGAGTTCAGAATGTATGCCAAAGAAGAAACTGTACACAGCGTATTAGCCATCGTGTATTATTATATAATTATAATATACATTAACTATGGTTTTGCATTAATTATATTCCCGGAAAACCCTTTCAGCTTCTTCGTGATTCATGTTATTGGATCAATAACTAAAGGCATTCGGGTCTTGCGTTTTCCTTAAGATCGGTAGGTATAATTCGTTTCAATAAGGGTTGTCTATGTACTTATATTCATAACTTAAGGATAGTCTACTCGAAATAACATAATGTTCAAACACGACAGTCTCCCTATAGTCTTATAGGCACATAACTTGTGATGAGAACGTTAAATATAAAATAATAATCTTGTTGTTTTTATGTATTTTAAGAACAAAACACTGTTTTTAATAATGATTAATAACAGTGTAGTATAATAATAATAATAATAATAATAATAATAATTATATAGAGATGTCGCGCATACACGTAGCTGGTAATTAAAAAAAAAAGAAAAAGAAAACGTTAGGTAGGTGAAACGAAAAATTAAAGCTTATACTACTCGTGGAGTCGAAATGTAAGAAGAACAATAAGAAGAGAAATAAAGTCTCTCTCTCCCTAGCGCCAGGTTCGCATTGTCTTACTTGCGACTCATCTCTTCCGGTTTTTTTTCCGTCAGTCTTCCCCAAAACAAATGCACTTCCTACCTAGACAATACCTCAACTGTATAGCATACGTGCTCATAAATTATGTATAATAATATGTGTGTGTGTACATATTTTGTATTAGCCGAGAGCTGTTGCGCGATCTCCGCCGTGTTCTCGGAAGTAAATCGTGTTCGGTACAATATTATCTTCATCGCCGTATACCACGGTAATATAATATAGTCGTATTAATGTATTATGATGATGTGCACACATCGCGTTGTCGGCAGCCACTCTTATATTGCACGAATGTTGTTGTCTGACACAAAAGCTCGGGGCGACTACCTGTATGTATATTATATGCATGTAATAAGTATAAAAAAAATAAAAAACAACATCCAAATTAAAAACATAAAATAAGTAGCCGACTCATGTGGGGGGTTTTAGAAATATTACCATAGGTACATATTATTTGTGAACCAGTATTATACAGTACGTTATATATGAGTAATACATATATATAACATACTGTAATATATATATATATGTATTTGAAATTAAATGCCGACTGACGACCACGCCATTTACAACGCCGCAAAATGTAATGGATTACCTACCTATATTGCTGATTGCACAGCTCGATTTGGGCGAAGCGAATAGCAACGGTCGGCATCTGATTTTTTTCACAGAGTTTTAAGCAAGTATACATGTATTGGGTAATTATTGTCGATGAGGGTATATTATAATATTATTAACAGCGTGTATAATTTAAAGACCTGCAAGGCCCGGGGCCTGCCCGACTCGGTCCTCAAAAAGCCCGGCCCGTAGTGACACTGGACCGGGCCGGGCCTTCAAAATAAAATAAAGGGCTGGACCGGGTTTGTTAAGTCTTGGAGTTATATTTCGGACCTGGCCATCGCTTTTTTTTGCCATAATTTGTCGGACCGGGCCGGGACAGACTACGAATAATAAATCAAGGGTTGGACCGGGCGTTTTAAGGATTTTTCTTCGACAATAAATAATCATAGTTTAAAAAATATTACATGTGAAAATTTTACAATATTTTTAAACCAGCCTTATAAAAAAAATCTAAGATTGGACCGGGCTTTTTTTAACAAAACTTTATATATTAGCTTTAAAAAAATATGACTGACAGAGCCGGGCTTGAGGATAAAATGTGTGGACCAGACCGGCCGAAAATGTACGGTCCTTGCAGGTCTATAGTGTATATACAGAGTGTTTTTGTAAGCATTCTCATCCTATTTGTATGCTTAAATTATGCATAATATATTAAAATTCAGATTTTCGGATTTTTTAAATGGGTACACTTGAAGACTATGTTTCGAATTATTGAAATTTTTTTTGTACCGCTTAATGATGATCCTGTGACAATACAATCTTCAGTTTTTCAAATAGAATGAACCTCCCTTATTTTTTTTAATTATGAAGCAGATATTTTTTTTTGAGAATTAAGTTGTATATCCACTCAATAATAGGTGTATTACAAAAAATATAAGACATTTGAAAATATGGTATTTAGGTCTAGTTAAAAATTCTAAAAATCAGAATTTGAATAAATGTGCTATTTAAAGGGAAAATGGAGGTGGGCTTGCTTAAAAAAATCACCAAGTAGAAATTATGCAGCTTATGTAAAGTATGAAATTAAATACTGACCAACGGCGATGCTTTCTTTTAAAACAACTCACAAAATTAATAGCTACCTATAATACGGATCGAACAGTTCGATCCAGGCGAATCGGCAATATCGCTTCCTGATTAGTTTCGCAGAGTTTTAAGTAAGTATATATTTACACGCCGGGGTTGTTGATGAGGGTATATTATACTACTATAAACAACGTGTATATTATATGTGTGTGTGTGTTATTATATTAATACAACATGGACGTTTAATAATAATATGAGGTCGTTACACGACGACGACGATGATAATATAATATTATAATAACGTCGTAGGGCGATCATATAGTGCACCCGTAATCATATTCGCTCGCCTCCTCGTATCTGCAAAACGCATTATCGACGGTGCGATTATGATGATATCATATAATATTATTATATTGTGCTGCACCCTCGAATCCGAAATTATGTCAAGTACCTATACGACAATCATGACCTATTATCTTTCGAAGGCACAACGTTATAGAATACGTTTTGTATACAGGGCGATAACGGTGCAGTGTCGTGGAACTCACAACTTGGACTCTTTTTCGAAATCCTCCTCCGGCTGCCCTAACCTGCACACTGCTCGTAGACAGATGCATAATAGTATTACGATTGCTTGACCAAGCCGTGACACACTGTAATCAATCGTCCGGCTTTCTATGCACTTCCATCGGCACCGACTTCGTTGGTAATATAATATCGGTGTGGAGTATCCCGAGTGTGGCGTAGATAGTCATTATTACTCGCCAGTTCAGGCCCGGGAATTTTCGGTCTTAAATAGAATTTTTTTCCTTAAAGCGCAGTGGATATTTCGCATTTAAATATTGTTAAGAATTCGTGTGAACCACTGTCAGGGAATAAATAAAATTTAAAAAAATAGAACGAGCAATAAAATCAAACCATCAATCGATGTCACACTGTATATACAATAATACGATGTGCACACTACTGCAATAGTGTCGGTATAGGTGGACGACAGCTGTCGACCGATCACGTGTAAAATGTTTGAATATATATTTTTTAATCTTACGACAATGATATTATCCGTACGGGGGCTTCGGGGCTAGTGGGGGGAACGAAAATCCGAGACGACATATCGGTTTCGTCCTGCAGACCGCACGACGATCGGCACAGTACCACGCTCGTCTCGTCACTGCACCATCGATACCGGTCCACGGCAGTCCGCGCATAACAACACGTAATGGTAACCACCGGCGCGACGTCGGGTTACCGCGGTCGCGGTTCGCGGACGTCCAACGGCCGTCGTCCGGCGGCGGAGGTCTTGATGGCATTATCCGTGCTGGCGCTGGGGCTACTGTCGCTGCTCGGGCCGACGGCGGATTGTCGACGGGCCGACAAGCGCAGGCACCACTGGAAGGTGAACGTGATCAAAAACCATTTGAAAAATCACAAGAGCCTCGAGGGGATGGTGCGGCTGGTCGACGGCGAATCCGAATACGAAGGTACTTACCGGTTATTGTTAGAATAATATCGATAATATTAATGCGAAAATAATTGTATGACAATCGTGTGAACGCTGCCAGACTAGCGACACGAAACACGATGAAATGACAATCGGTTTTTAAAAATTCATTTTTCCACCTGATTTAATATCGTACATAATAAATATAAAACCTATACATTTTAATGAAATCTTAAAATTTTGTTTCGAGAATAGGTACATTATGATTTAAGACAAAAAACTTTTATTCAAAGAAAAAACAGAGTTTGTACTTAATTCATTTTTTTGGTTTTTTTTATGTGTCAGACATTTCAGTGTTTTGTTTTTCGTTCACTCGTTAGGTTCGTAGATATTTGATGAGTATATTGAGTATCTATTCCTGTAGTTGTGATAATAAATAATAATATGTTATTTTTTTTATAAAAATTAATTTTTTTATCTTGATTTATGTGTTCTCAAACCTGTTGTTATTCACTCTAGTCTATAATGGAAAACACGTCTTCTAAATTGATGTTAAGACACGTCATTAGCCATCAGTTGTCTTCTGTATCGTGTCCACATAAAAAAAATGTGATCAACTATGTTATGGTCGTGCACGAAATATATAGTAGGCACGTGCTATCATATAGGTCCAACAGCAGTGGTGAGTCAAGTGTTAATACACGTAAACATTTTTGTTTCGAAATTCAAGTAAAATGCAATACTCTGTGATAACCAGACAGTTTCTTTTATGAACAATTCCCAAGGAACGCGTGCGTTTTTGAGAGTATTTGATTGTCGAGATACAATACATCGACTTGAATGGTATCGTGAGAAGTTTCGATTGAGATCTCGATGGGATGAGAAAAATCGTAGGTCATTACAGAAACCCATTTTTGTACGTTTACTTACTTAAGATTTAAACGGGCCATGACCAATTACATAACTTCTATAATAACAACAATCGTTCCTAAAAAGTTAATAGCATAAAGTAATATCATAACAACAGAATACAAGTTAAATATAAGATAATAAATACTTACAACCATGTGAACTATTACAAAGTAAGAATTACATTACATTTGTAATAGACAAAGTTTGCTGAGATGAACAAATCGATGTTTAATTAATTTATAGTTTTTACTATTCGAGTGTGGGGGAGGAGGTATTACTCGCGTAATCGGTTACTTTTATGCGCAGTATTATTATTAGATCGAGTACTCCGAGTGAGAGTATGGGAGGAAAAACGATTTGAGAATTTTTTTAAAAAATGTTTAATGTATTGAAAGTTATCATAAATCATAAATTACAAACGAATAAGCGTTGTTCCAGCTATAGTGCATGACGCGTCGAGGTTCGGAATGGATAAAATTTAAGAGTGAAAAAAATGCCGATAAACGGCCATGGTGCATAATATTTGAACTACAAGAACCGTGAGAATTTTTGACGATTTTTTTCTAATTTACATTTTCATTTTAAGACCCGATTGATTGTATATGTACACCATGTTACGTAATATTCGCAAATGGAAAGTTCCAAAGACCGCGATATACCTAAATGGATTTTAAAGCACGGTCACCATGTGATCAGCATTAAAGCCAGCACGACAAATGACGGATTTGTTGGATATGTCGACAATGTCGGTAGGTAATATATTGTATATTGAAAAAAAACAACAAGAACTACAAAAAACAGCCCTTTCAAAATCGGCCCGGAAAACAGCGCCGGCAGAAGAGTCGTCGACATAGCGTTTACCGTATTTGGGAATGTGGTGTTCGCCAACCACACGTCATTATATATCGACACGTTCTGAGACGATAATATTCGACGGGCAGGTGTCTGCATGATATTATTACGTAATCAAGACGTCGTATGGGATTTTAGCCCACTCGGGTAATCGTGTGGGCCGAGCATTATTATATTATACAGGCGCCCGTCCCGCCGTCTGCGGCAGATGATCACGTTCCCCGTCCGCAGTTTGTTTGTCAATCGTAAAAGATAAAAAAATACCTTAGACTCACGGTTTTCATATTACGTTATACAGGGCGATTCACCTAGTGAGTTTACAGTATTTTTCTTCTTCTTCGATGAGGAGATCGTTCAAAATATGATTTTTCGGAATCGTCACACACAATAATGTTACTCAAAGACGATATTGTCCAATTTTCGAGGCTTCTCGTGCCTACTATATTATATTCGAAAAGTGTCATGTAGAGATACAAATTTCTGTTTTTCAAATGAAAACACACGCCTTACCCACTCTGGGTTACCTCAGAGGATATTTTTTCTGGACGTTTTGACGTATCAAAATCAAAATTCGAACTAGTAGTTTTTGAGTTATTTAACTTGGCGTGCCGAGGACGTACAATTAAGGTTCATGCGATCACGGACATTTTAAAATGTTAATAGTTTATATCGATTCATCAATAGGTATTTGTAGCTTATAAAAATGGTCCAACTATCATAAATATTAAATCCTATATTACATGTATTTATTTAGTTTTGAAAAAACCATTTTTAAGGAAACTTTTATCCTTACGTAGTGTAAACATTTTATATCTGAAAAACTACACTTTTTTAATGTTGAATTAAGTACATCGTCGTTTCCAAAAGAGTCCACTTGATAATTGATTTTAAAAAGCACTCCCCTCCCCCCGTTCTCGGTCGAGTAATGGAATTCTGTGTCCTGACACAAAAGTCTCATTAGATACATTTAAAAATTCCAAAAATTCTAATTTAAAGAAATTCATAATTCAATTTTTAAAAAAAAACGATGGTTGGCGAGCTTAGTGAATCACTCTGTATGTAAACGAACACTGACCATCACGTTATTATTATACCTAGGTATATATTATGTTGTGCGCGCCTCGCTGTCGCCGTAAAACGTCGCGACGATCCATAATTCATCAATTTTTACGGCGGACTTGCGCACTTATCTGTAGGTATCGGAGTAAAGTAATATTATATCCGGTATCGTATTATTGACATTTACAAAAACTTCGTGTTATGGAGTTCGTGTAAGATTAAGGCGTCGTCCAGGGCCTGATTTAAAGGTACCTACATTATTATATACAGTGGATCCGATCTCGACTATGAAGTAACTTTAATTTTAATGCCCAAAATATAAAAATGCGTCATCAGTGTTATTATAAGAACTAAGCGTACTATTATTGTCATAGATGGTTGGCGGAGTTGATGTCTCGTGGGCAGTGTTGTAAAAGTACTTGAATAAGAGTATTTTAAGTACTCAAATACGTAATATGTAATTTAAATACTTTTCGAGTATTTTAATAATTATTTTTAGAATTTAAATAATTTTAAGTTTAATTTTAATCATCTCAAAAGAAAATAAAAGCTGAAAATATACTTATATAATTGTATATTGTCTTAATGTGAATTATTAAACTGAACTGAAAATCAAATACTTTGACAAAGAGAACAGTCGATTATTTTACAGTTCCCCCAAATAATAAGGTGTAAAATTCTGTATCTACACAATTTACGTAAGACGTGAACAAATTGGATCAGTTGATTTTTAAGGTAAAAATAATAGTTTATAAAAAATTTGAATGTATTCGAAGGGTTTTTACAAGACTCATCATGGGCTTATCAATTATTATTATTGTCATTGTAATTCGGTGATATAATGTCGGATCATGTTATAGTTTTATGCAAATCTGTATGAAAAATATTGTAGGAAAGGAGCATCTGAAAATCGTTCAAATTTAGGGGTCCGAATAAATATGCAGGTCTGTGTGCATCTATATACCATCATATTATTATTATTGTTATTTTAGTATCCGAATTCGACCGTTTTGGGTGTTTTGTCGAACGGATGTATCACGTAGATGGCGTTTTAACCGTAACTTTAGGACCACTGCAGCTGCACGACTAATTACTCGTAAAGATTTATAGCAACAATAATATTAGAACGACTACGATTCGAACGTCGAGTCGCGTTGTGTTGCCAGCTAGTCGTAATTAATTAATTGGTCTAATCGAAAACGCGACGGGGCAAATTATACAGTATTATGGAGTATTGATGAGACGATATACGAACTACACATTTGTACGACAATATTATGTACGAAACTGAAATCAACATATGGTCGAGGACTTAAGTCACGGTGTGCCTGAATATCATAATATCGTTCGTCAGAACGATTACAGAAGTTTAAGTGCCGAACGTCTTATAAAATATTATACTGACGTAAAATTAACAAAACAAATAATTATGCTTAGATTATTCGAGAAAAAAAATTCCTTCAGATATTTGTAATGAAATATTTAGCTAGACATTTGGACTAAATACTTCCGTATTTAGATCACAAAATAAAAGCATTCTTTACAAGACTTCAAACTTGGTTATTTTTATTAATTGCCAATTATTCGGTTTATTTTTAAAATGTAGAATTTCTTAAACACGCATTGTTCTTAAATTCGTAATTTTATAACATTTCTATAAAGACTGCACAATATATAAATTATAATATATTTTAAAAATAGTCGTGACTTTCTCTTGCTCAGCTGATCGCCTATGGTGAACTTGGATTTTAGTTTTTCAAATAAATTATAATTTTGATGGTTTGTATTACAAAATTATGTATTATGCAGAATAAATTTGAATGTATTTATGTTTAATATTTAATAAATAGTTTATTATCAGTGAGCGTTTATGCCTTATAGTTAAAGGAGCGGTAAATATTCGTATATTATATTACACGTTCGTGGGATGATAACATATTTCTCTACCTCACCACTTCGCACTACTGAACTTTTAGCGATTATTTATATGATATATTATAGCTACTAAACTATTTTGATCAATATATTGGATAGGTAGTACAGAATGCAAGCAAAATTATTCTGAATTATTTAGGTAGTCAGTTCGGTAAAGTTAGTTGAAAAATAGTTTTGAAAATATAGAATTTAGCAAGAATACAGGATGAGTTCACCAAGAATGCAATAAGATACCAATTAAAGAAAAATTTAACAAATTCAAATTTTTGAAATTTTCCAATATACATTTAAGGCCGTATTTTCAAATTCTTGGGATTCTCGTATCACTTAAGGAGTGTCCCGAGGCGTTACAAACTTCTAATTTTCGAACGAGATTCCCCCTTTCTTAATGACCATTATTTAGTAGATCATTGTTTTTAAAAAGTTAATGTAGCTTATTCAAAGTTCGAATGAGTAGTATCTTAGTCGTCAAAATATTTATAATATTTATTTTATTTATAATGATTGTCCTTAAACATGGTTTTACAAAAACATAATTTAGATGTGATATTGATTCTATACTTCTATCATATTTATCATATTCGAAGAATATTTTTTTGTATAGGAGCGTCTCATTTGAAAAACAGAATTTTGAATCTTGTTTACATTAAACGTCTCTACTTAGGCAGTACAAAAAGTCTCAAGAATTTGAAAGTAATAAAATATGGTCTATAGGTATAAGTATTTTAAAAAAATTCCAAAAATCATATTTTGAATATGTACTGCGTTATTGAAGAAACATCTGGTGATCACGGTGGGTAAATCATTGTGTGCTTAGATAAATGTAATCACAAACAAAACTTACAAGCAACTAGATATTTGATGAATCGGAATTTAAATAATATCATTATTATCATTCATATGGTTAAATAAGAAACAGATGGTGTCCAGCGTGCTCGTGTTGTACAATACATTATTGTACCTAATACAAATAAAATCACCGTTTATCGTCGTAATATGAACGGTACATACAGTGTAAACATAAAACACATACCACTAATACCACTGTCGAATAAACCTGCTATTGGCCCTGGAAGAAATAAAACGGATTCTGCACGTTCGGCGCGCGGAACAGCAGTAACAACGGAGAGCTAGACGATGCGGCGCCACGGACAATTATTGATAATATAGGTATATTGAATATTGTATTTTTTTACGATATTTACATTATTTATCGCTCACCTATAGCGAACGTTAAGGGCGCGACGATCACTACACACGCAGAGCGGGTGCAATCGGAATAAAATTACGCGGTCCGTGGCGGTCGTAAAATCCGCCGCAGTTGTCCTGCTATTCAATTTTTATAATATTACAATAATAATAATAATAATATTAATAATAATAACAATAATATTACACAGTGAAGTGTGTATAATGATAACAATAATGATAACCGCGAGGCGAACCTAACCGCGGCCGGTCACAATGTGTATGGATAGCGGTCGTAAATACCGGAAGGCGTACCTCTCTCACACACACACACACACACACACATACACACACACACACATACACACATACACACACACACACACACACACAATACCCATATGGTAGGAATCATATTGTTGTACTATGTTTTATATTCATATTATGCGACTCAGATTTAACGACGGACACCTACCTACACACGACCACTACGGCCATATTACACTATAACGACTAATGAAATATTTTCACTCCGGTTTTATTATATTATAATTCGATTGCGTTATAATATTCCATTACGCTTTTATTACCCATATGACCAAGTGCCAGCAGCAACCGAAAACCCGCTTGACCGTTGAACGATTTGAGGCGTAAGAGGACTATATTCCTGCTATTACATTTTAATAATATGAGTAGGATTGTGAATTTGTAGGAAAGTGTATTTTTTTTTTTTGGTGATTGCGAAACGTAGCTTTGTAAGTACATAATTTGAATGGTGTAACTGCGAATCCATTTAAGCAACTTTTATTTTGTATTTTTTTTTTGCATTTTTTGACGTTTTTAATTTTTTAGGTCATATTTTCCTTTTTTATTTCATTTTCCAGTATTTTTAATCAAATTCCGTCAATTGACGGAAAAATTTTTGAAAAAAAAATTGATTTTTGTACACAGGCTGTATCATATGTCGATCAAATAAGGAAATTGCGAGATAACTACATAAGTTATTTGTAAGTTATTCATTTCTAAAATGTTTTCTAAAAAATGTTTCGGGTGAATGCTATAAGTATGGAAAATTCAAATTCAATCAACATTTTCATTATTTTTTTATGCATGTAATGCACTAATGTATAATATTGTGTATCTAATATTAATATAAATATTAAAATTAAATTAAAAACCATTTAAAATGAATTTTATACTATAATTTTCGGGATTTTATATTGCATTTTTTTTCATTTTAAGTGCATATTTTATTGCATTTTTTTGACATTTTTTAAGATTCTTTAGTGCGTTAAATTCAGAGCCCTAGATATGAGAGTTATGAAATTAAAAATCAATGAACAGTGTGCCGTAAAAATGCATCTATATACCTATATACAAATATAAATAAATAATTTTTCAAATATTATGACACAGTATTCAATATTATAATACTGCAGAAGAACCGTGATAACTCGAAAGAATGCCGTGGCCCCATGCATTTTGATATGTACATCAAACAATTTTTTTTACTAATTGAATTTTTGAAACCACGGATTTTCTTGTTTTGTCCCCGGCCGATTCGAGTTATCGAGGTTTCAATACTGTGAATATTGTTCTCTCAAAGTTATACCCAATAATATGTCGTGCCCAGAACACAAGATTACAACGTTATGTCACCATTAGCTTAGAGAACATGCTTATACATTGTTGTCAAGTTGTAACTTAGAATTTATAAATACGGTTTTCTGATCATGTTTTGTTTCACATTTCGTGTGTGACTGGACATCTTCGTTTTAAAAGAACGTAACTATACAACGAGAGTTTATATTATTCTTAAATGAAATTCTTCGGAAACATAATGAATTGCCGTAAAAAAGTTATCGTTGATACTCGAAATCAGACACAATATAATAATACACAACAAATGTAAAATACCGAAAATTGGCTATTCAATCAATGACAAACATCATTCCAATTCACAGAAAGTTAATAAGCAGCTTGTTATCCACAAAATGGTCGACGGAGAAATTATGATAAATAAGTAAATAACAATAAGTGTCATAAGCCAGAATAGATCACAAACATCTTACCCAATCCTATTCTTTATCATCAAAGAACCTGCCCTAGTATGTGACAAATCTAAGGAAACCCGCTCGATCGACTCCATCGTTAAACAGATATCCAAAACAATCAGAAGCTATGAAAATCTTCATCAATCCAATTTCTCACCAAATAGCTCTCAACGAAGAAAACATCGAAGCAATCCACACATTTTTAAACACCGTATATTTAAGCGAAAATCGTAAACAACTATAAATATTTCAGTCTCGTCTTCCTTTACCAGCTGTTTTTATCTCCGTGTTGCAACTGTAGGCTAATGACTCACGACGTTGAAACCTTTACTTTAATTAATTATAAGTATAAATTATTTATTATAATATAACAACACCAATATATTACCAGACACTTTTTCAATACACTTTACACACCTGGTGCGCCGATCACACGGATATTTTCATCTTGGGTCTTACATATTTTCTTCTTATCGTTGCAGGTAACGTGGAGATCATGCACCTGGGAAAATGGGGCGCCATCTGTGACGACGAATGGGACTCGAGAGAAGGACAAGTGGTGTGCAGACAATTGGGCTACAACGGCACGTCGAGGGTCACTCACAGCTCGCACTTCGGACAAACTGCCAGTAATGATGATACACAACAGTTACAATAAAAATATTAATATTACGTTGACATCCAAAACGGATTCTATATAGATGCTGTTTTTAAAGTCCTCCGAGGACGAAAAATGGTTAATATTATAAAGTGACGTTTTTGTGAAGGAATGTATTGGATGGACAACACTCAGTGCGGCGGCCAAGAGCTGGAAATTTCCGAGTGCCGATTCGACAGTTGGGGCGAGAACGACTGCGACCCTTCCGAAGCGGCGGGAGTGGTGTGCGATTCGCCCGAACCCGAAAAGCCCAAATACTCTGTGCCCTCGGTGACGGTTGCTCCGAAAAAAGCCACCCGAAAGTACAGGATCAAAGTAATCTCGATAATACATTATACCCTTCGATTCACTTTTATACCTTAACCGTGTTAAGCGGTTGCTGTATTATAATACATATAGGTACTGTATTATTGATTTTGAATTTAATTTCACTCTTCGGCCTTTTTTTTTGTTGCAAAAATCGATTCTCAAGAGGACGTTGTGCATGCATAATATGTTCCAATATTGCTTTATTGTTGGCCTAAAATATTATGTTGAGTGAATTTAACTATTATCAAACTTAAATGTCAAAACATTATCTGTGTTCTATCATTGGATTTTTTTTGATATTTTATTTTTTAAATGAGTTTTGAGTATATAAAATATTTATATTTGAAAATGATCGTATTTTACTTGGAAATAAGAATATTATAAGCTACTAACAACACAACACTGATGATGTTCTTGCGTTTAAGTTTGATGCTAGGCCGACTGGCTATAATATTTATGTTAACAATACAAAGTCGAAACTTACATTTTGGAATATTATGAGTTAGTATAATGAAGGCAAAATATTACGTGACTATGACGTTCTCTCAACGGTTTATCGAATACCATAATGATTTCGTCTTTTGGCCGTTAAACTTGCACCATATACATCGTCGTATCTTTGTACGGTTTTTGAACTTTCGATCAACTCTAAAAATATTACATAAAAAATTTAAAAAAAACAATAACATTACAAGCAAATATATTCCACACAGGTATAATAGTTATTAATAATAGGCTTATTGGGGGGGGAGGTGTTAATTGTTAATCTTGATGTAATATTGTACGTATTGTTATATTAACAAAATACATAAATAATAATAATAAACATTTTAGACACGTCTCGTAATACTTTTCAAGAGTATAGCTTGTTATGATTTCTTTCTGTTTTTCGTGCACCGCAGGACACTTCTGGGTCGGACATCGAATTGCGGCTGGCAGGAGGCAGGACATCGGAAGAAGGCAGAGTGGAAGCCAAGACCAATGACGGTAAGTCCAGCTAAATGATCATATCTTTCGTCATAATGTTGACGTTCATATTTTAGTTTATCGAGGAAAGTACTACAATAATGGATGTATACTATGAAAATAATATTATATATTATATACGCACGTTGTTTTGACGCTTGTTATACAATTATACATTCGAAAATATTATGTCCTCTGTAAATATTTACAGTTCGTTAGTATTGTCGTTCGTTGTTTGACTTAATTCCAAAAGGGGTAGTTTTTCAATATCTTTGACATTGTCCACGGCATTCGAACGAAAGCTAGTAGGTATACGTTTGTATTTTCTGTGAAGTATAAACAACGACACGTATTTACAGTCATATTAGCTTAAAAAATATTCTGCAATTATTTAAGAGTTCGTTGGAAATTTTTTTTTTAAATACAATTACTTTACGAACCTATTTGTGCAGTCAGTCCACTTGAATTGATTATTTGATTATACCTGTTCTTTTTTTATTAGCTTGTTCCACGTATATATATGTCGACGGCGTGTTTAACGTGCCGGCTATTCTCTTTTGTTTTGTCTTTAATAAAGAAATCATAAAATATAAAGTGAGTATATAGGGTGAACGTTTTTTTCAAATGTATTATTTTACGACGCGTAAAAAGTTATTTAATACATTTTTAAAGCATCTATATTGTTTTCGACAAATTCATCAAATATTCAATGCAATTAAAAATACCATTAATTTTAAAGTGATGACGTAAAGTTATCTTTACCAGCTATTTCGATTCTCTGCAGAATGTTAATTATTTTCCGAGTTTCAGTATAAGACAGTATCTCGTTGACAACTTATATTGTTTTACCAATATAATATGTCACCTCAGTATGGAACTCGAAGGAGGTGAGAAAGTGTTGAAATCACGTTTTCCGTTAAATCGAAGTCGAATCCGTGTAATTTCATGTTTACACTGCGAGTTGTTCGCATGCACCATGAAAATAAATCTTATAAAAATAAGTGAATATTATATGAAACGAACCGCGTGATGTGTCAAAAAATAAGTGCACTAGGTATTACGTAGAAAACTGTTCGAAAAGGTAGGTAGGTCACTTTTTTGAATGTCGAAACACAATTATTTAAAAGCCAATGGAGACTCTACAACACTACGATGGCCATAGCGGTGCTGTAGATAATATAATATCACTTAATTAAAAATGGACGTCTATTAAACCCGTTTCGTTTGGCCTAATTATTATCAACAAATGCAATTTGTTCCCTTTCGCAACGCTGACTAAGTGTTCTTGTCGAACTTCGAGCGTTAACTTAATGAATATAGCAACGTTACGGCGCGCATATAACTATTTATTAAGGCAATACTGTCCCCCCTCCATGCCATCCGCTTTCTTCATTGTACAAATTTACAATATATCGACTATTACACGGTAGCTTATAAATCTGCTGAATTCCGACGACTAAACGATCATTACCATAGCAAATATCCTAAGCGTCGAGCAAAGTTCAAATCCCGCGAAAATGTTCATCCGCACGTTTCCTCGGATTCGAGAGGAGAAAAGCGCACGGCGACACTCCGGGGGAATATAATAGTTTTCACCGAATATCTATAGGCTAAAAATCCCTCTGAAAATTATAGGTAAGGCACAATAATCTATCAATTACAATACACCCGTTGCTGTTATAAATATTGTGTTTAGTATGATATTGTTTCGACAACTGCAGCTACCATATTGATATTATTATAACGTCTCGGATATTCAGACAAAAAAGTCTAACATAATATTTTCACAAAACTGCTATCATAATAATACTGCATTAGGCGACTCGGCTCAGGTGTTTGACTTCAGTCACCATGAACGTGTTCAGCCAGCACCGGCTGGTGACACTAGTTGCCGGATGGGTGACAACCCAGGTTCTCAGTGACAATTCTCGTCATACGTCTGAACTAACCCCAGTAAATATCAGCTAATAACAATGCAGTTGATGCCATAAATAATGAAAATAATAAAAATATTGCATTATTAATTTAATTGTCTCGAAATATGGGTCTCTATAGACAGAAGTCGATTTTTATTCACCAGACGAATTTTTAAAAAACAACTCTATTAAATAGGTAGGTATAATTAAATCTTTCCTTATTATATAAATCAAATTACACAGAAATGATGACGACGAATAAAATCACTTTTACAACAAACCGTAATTTTCAATATTCATTTTTGGTAACATTTAAATTCACGTGAAAAACGATTATTTTGAAATACGTACGATAGTACCCACCTACGTTATACATTTCGGTGGTAATATTATAATATCTCTAAAACCAATAACAATCATTATAATATATTATTACTATATCAATCGGTTGAATTAATAATCAATTAATCTCGGCCGTCGATATTAATCGAAATTACCACTCTGTACATCGAAACGCAATGCAATAAGGAATTAGCATAAACTATATTATTCTCACCTAACTCTATGATGTTCTCATCGTGTCGAGTAAACGCAATTGTTATCCTTTTGTCCGACACTCACACAGACACACAGATTTTTAATACAACAATAATATAATAATATAGGTATTTTACTACGACACGTGTTTTAGCCAAAAATGATGAATGATGATGGGCCGCACGCGACATATTTATGATAAAAAATATAAAAAGTTTCACCCCGGCAGTATGGACGCTAATGATTTATCCTTTTATTAACGCTCGTGTACCTCTGATGTTCAACATTTGATTTTCCAACCTTAAAGTTAGTAGTTAATTTTTTTGACAAAACGGACTTTAATACGCATTCTATTATACGCACCTAACATTAAACTTGTTGGGAAACCGCAGTGCCGCTCTGTGACTTTGATTTTTGAAAAGTTACTTGAATCACACATAGAGCCGAAATAAACTAAATTTGATTTTAATCACATTTTCGAGTGATAGCGTGAATTTAATTTTTTGACAACCGACTATTTTTTTTTTGCTAATAATATCGATAGTACCTAAACTATTAACCAACTTACGAATTGACCGTGATTAGATTACAGCAGATCAATAAATTGTATGTCATGAGTTTTGTGAAGAAAAAAAAGTGGATGAAAAAAGACATATTATAAACTATTAAAATTTAAACGAACCATCGATTTCCGAACCTCTTATATGAAATACTCGAATACGAGAACACGTCGTTAACTTACTTCAAATTCCCAATGGGCTTTTAAAATAAACGAAAAATAGTGGAAATATAGGATTTTGTTTTCGACAATAACTCATAAATAACACTATTTATATATAGTATATTATACTGACCGACCTCTTTTAGAGCCATAAAAATATGTCGACGTGAAAAACTATCGAAGAAAAAAACCGATTTCCGGAACAACACAGCTGGGACGTTAAATTTTATTTACAGTCACCTGTGGTGAATGTCTTTGACGTGTGCCGTTAGGTACAGAAAGTGCGATTCAGACCGCGAGATCTATGAACGATGATAAAATGTCGCAAAAACACAATAGTTTATCCGGAAAGTGTTTATTGCGGTTCCAATTATAATTACGATACATCAGTCATCAGCTTTTATTAAATTTGAGTGAAAAAAAATTCCTCTGTTCCCGATAACCTCGTATACAGAGTGATTCACCAAGCTTGCTCCATTTTTTTTTTAGTACAATGAATTCGTTCAACAATTAAGATTTTTGGAATTTACAGGTAGACTGATTTTTTCAAATTCTTGATTTTTTTTTGTTATATTACTGTGAGTGTCCTGTGGTGATACAAACTTTTTTTCAAATAAGAACCTGCACCCTCCCCTTTTTACTGTAAATTATTTAGTGGATAATTTTTAGAAAAATTTTGATGTACCTAGTTCAAAAATATGAACGAGTGGTTTCTTAATTATTAATATAAGATAATATGATGGCTATGGTGATTTGAAAATTTTAGTCGTTATTAATCATCACAATAATTTGTAAAACTGGCCAAGATATAGTAAATACTAGATCCAATATTAGGAATAATATGTTATACTTTTGTAAAACAATTTTTATGGACTATTATCCTTAGAACAAACATTTTAAAAACACATGTTTGTATCTCCTCATGACCCTCCTTCAGCGTAGCACAAAAAAATCTCAATATTTGAATATCTATTCTTTAAGTATATTTAAAAATTCCGAAAATCAGATTGACTACATTATTGAAGAAAAATAAAGGAGTTGAGCATGGTTGGTGGAGAATTATTCCGTATAGATGATCAAGGCATTTGCGAATGAAATCCAAATCGAACGAACGAGTGAATAGATAGAGAATAAATTCACGTCACGGTCGTATATATTGTTCTCAAATTTTTTTTCTCTTCCCAATCAAATCGCAAGACGCATACGAAGTACGAACGCCTCCTACAATCGGTACGATTATTGTTGTTATCTTAACGATTGTAGGTACCTGTGAATTTTTTTTCTCTCGCAGCTCTACGAAATTCTACAGACTCACAAACTTGTTTACTCGCAGACCTTAACGATACGACCGTAGGCACAATAATATTACTATGATATAGTACATGATATACCGATCCGTGTGCCGAATAAAAATCTGAATTCCATGTGAATTATTTAAAAGCAGCGCATACGTGGGAACTCGGAAATCTACTGCAAATTCCATGACAATATTTATCGGATACGTGTCAGGTCGGCGGCGGCGGTGACGCCGTATTTTTATATATCTCAAACTTTTTCGTGACTCTTCGACGATATTTTTACAGATACATGTCGTACAGCAACGTGCGCGGGTGGGTGAAGTGCGGCGTCTCTTGATTGAGTTTTATTTATACTTTGGAACACTCGGCGTCATCGAACAGGGGCACTTTTGCCGTCGAGCCAGTCACGACTGTAATAATAATATATACGTACCTAGCGTATAATACTTCCCAGAAGTTTTCGTTCAATTTGTTTCTGGAGAAAACTATCGAAAAAGCACATCGGGTAAACATTATAAACAGAGACAAACAAAAGAGATATTCGTAGGCTGCTCGGTTTTACGTTGGTATACGGACTGCGATATTATACATATATGTTTGTGACGTCTTGTATCGATGACGTTTGATCTCGTCGGTGGAAAAAAAAAATGTATAATAAAATATAATATATAAACAACAAAATATAATATTGCGATATTATAGTGTTATAACGAACGCGGAAAGTTTCATTTCGACGGAAAACGCGACAGCGGCGGCCAAGTTATCTTTAAAAGAGGAGGGAAAAAAAGGAAACGAAAAGTTCTAGTGGAGCGAGGGTGGGAATCGAGTTTTTCTCGCGGGCGTTGAGTTGATGGTTTCGGGGTGGTGGTGGGAAAAGGAGACTGTGGGAAAACAATGAGAACGGAACGGTGTGTGTGTGTGTATTATAGTAGTAAATTCTAAAATGTTTTTCGAGTATTTGGGAGGGCAAGGGCATGCGAGAGGGTCGTTTTTGTTCTTATCGATTTTCAAAAAAAAAAAAAACCACTAGTTCTATATTAAACACAGTCCACCGTCATATATATTATTAATATATTAGACTGATACTGTATAGTAAATTATTATTATTATTATTATATAGGTGAGTGTGTCCTTATACGCATATTTTTATACAGAGTGATTCTTTTCACAACTAACCCTCACATCCTATATACATTGGTTGATTTTTTTCATTAGTTTTTCAAAAATATTTGACTGCATAAGGCATAAATTACGTACATAAGTTATAACACTTAATTCTAAGGAAAATTACTTTTGTAAGATAAATCAAATATTTTGCAGTTTTTATTCAACAACAATCCGCAATAAATTCTTACATCATAAACTGATACAGAATATCTTTATTGAGTTTTCTATGGATAAATATCGAGCATTGAATAAAGAGTTTCTTTTTGCAAATATTTAAAATTTAGATTTGAGTATGCGTAGTACAATAGTAAATGTAAGTCCTTGTGAAATTTACTCCAATCATATTGACTTAAAATTATTTATATAAAACTGTTTGTTCAATATTCTACATGAAATTGTGCATTAAAATCATAACTTATTTGTGTTGAGAAAAACCAAAGGAACAACGAACAAATTTAGGTATGGGAACAAAAAAGTAGTGATGCAATTATAGTAGTTACCTGCAGCTACTTCGTAATCACATTTATTATAAAAGCACAAAAGTGATATGAAAAATAGTCATTCTGTTGTACATTAACACTTTTGCATCATCGCATAGTAATTATGTTACTACCTATGTTTTATTTGACGTGACATAACCTATAACATCGATTGTGTTTTAAATTTTCATGTTTACCATTGGCCGTCGCTTAGGTTGGGGCGTGATATGCGGCGACGGGTTCGGCGTGCTTGAAGCGTTGGTCGTGTGCCGTTCAGTCGGGCTCGGGTACGCAGCAGCCGCCTTCCAGACGGACCGGTTCGGAGGGCTGGACCTTCCGGTTGTGTTGTCAGCAGTCGAATGCGCCGGAAACGAGTCGTCGCTTGCCGGATGTTATCACCAGCACAAGGCCACGTGCTCGACCAGGAAAGAGACGGTGGCTGCGGTCGTGTGTGCCCGGGGTGAGTGATTTTCGTAGTCCGTAAAATATTTATTTATTTCATTTATATACAGCCAAAACTCTTTATAACGAATCTGAAGGGACCAAGAGATTTCTTTCGTTATAGAGAGTTTTCGTAATAGAGAGGGTTTAAAAAAATCAAAATTTTAATTATTTATCAAACACATCATTATTTTTACATTATTTTATATATATATTTACGTATTATATTAAATTATTATTATTATTATTATTATTATTATTATTATACATACTTATTAAATATAATTTAATTTTTATACTATACATATTTATACTTTATTTAAAATAGTCTGTCATCTTAGTTTGAAATTTTTTATTCGGCATTATTGCCGATTATTTTTATGGTTTATATATGTAATGGATACAATAACACGTAAATTGTATTATGAAACATAAAATATTGTTTCGTTATTGAGAGTGGTTAGGTTAGGGAGAACAGAGGTTACGTTACAGAGAATGAATTGTCTAATGGGTTATATAGCAAACCAACCATTATTATGTAATGTTTACGTTATATAGAGTTTTTCGTTGTAAAGAGATTCGTTATAAAGAGTTTTGACTGTACCTATGGGTTCAGAGCCCAACATAATTCATAAAGATACTATTAGATCAAATAGTGAGTCCTATGCACATACCCAATTTTATATATTAACAACTTTATTAATATAAATATAGCTCACTGCTCGCTCTGTGAGTTGCCTTATGACACAGTTCACCGTCGAACACAATTATTGTACATAGCTTATAGATTAAAATAAAGATAATAATCGAGTTAATAGATAAACAGCGATATAAGATAAAATTATTACGATACCAATAATCGTTAGTCACGAGTATAAATGGTAAATATTTATATGCAATGTGTCCTGTAATACGGATTTTGGAATTTTGGTGAGATCGCTTCGCTGCAGACCGTAGAGCTTGAAGAAGTCCAATAGGAGTTCCGATGCGGTTCCCCGTGCTCCTAACCATAGCCCAAATACTTCCACTCTAGTACTCCAAAGAACCTCTGACTAGGTGTGCACGGCAAGTATATATCTCTCTTCTCTTCGTGCACGTTGGCGTCTTGTTGGTCTCCAACCGAATCGTGGGGTCCAAGATGAGGCCTCGTCCGTTCTTTCCATCAATCCCACTATGACATCAGCCTCTCTGTTTTGAGTTGCTCCTTGGCTGAGTACTACACAGCACACTTCTTCGAGTATAGTTATTTCGTTATAAGATTATTGTAAGTTGGTTTAAATAACGTTAGTACCTAGATAATGAGGTACAGCGATAACAATAATAAACTTGATAAATTAAATAATGCACATACAAATGAACAATAACAATATCGTCTTTAAAATAATTGTAGGCGCTCATTGTCAAGGTGCATCATCCTCGCTATACTTTATACGCTGCATTAATGTCGACGGATACGTATTTTAGCCCTAATTGAAGAATAATAACGTTATATATTGTTTTATGCTTAGCAAGAGTAAAAGTAGGTGGACACTACATTTTGCAATAATAGTTTGTCACGGACACTCGTCGGTGACTGCAATGCTGTCGGAGGCTTGTGATGCACCCCGAAACGTTTTGTAGGTATGCTGTACGCGTGCGGTTTCAAACGATTTTCAATCACATCACTGGGGTGGTGTATTTTCGAGGAATTAAATTTTACCTTTATAGGTTTTTTCGGGTAAAACTATATTCGATGTGGTACGATTATTTTCTAAAACATTTATCAACGTTTTATGATAAAAGACATTAAATTAACATTTTTAATAAAATGTATCAACATTGTTCATGCCTACCATGTTTCGTTGCATGGACGTGGACATTAACTGCGTAGCCAACAGATTCCACGTGGAAATTATACGTTAGGTAAGTTTAGAGTAATAAACAGTACTAAAACTATTACTCTGATTCTTGTTTTTTTTTTTTTATTATTATTTATAAAGTTTTCCTGACAATTGGTCATCTAAACTTAAGGCTAAAGGAAAATAATATTTGACATTTTGAAAAAGGTTAACATAAAAGAAAAAAAAAAAAAAAAATTTTTACAAATCAGTAAGAATTGATAAATTAGAATTTAACAATGTTTATGAGCTTAGATCTAACTATATTTTTACAACAGTAATAGGTATGTACAATTAAGATTTAATTAAGAACTAATAAATGGGAAAATAATAATACAATAGACAATTAACATAGGAGGTCATGTGGACGTCCACGCTTGAGACGGCGTATTGGAGGAGGGACACTTAGGTTGTAGTATTTAGCGCTGCTAGCAGACTGTAAGTGGTTGAAGAAGTTGATTGTTAGTTTCTTTATATAATCAGTTATAGACGGTAGTTGGAAGTCTGTGTGCAGTGCAGCATTACGTATGAACCATGGGGCGTTAGATATTGTCCTGAGGACTTTAGATTGAAATATTTGTATCTTGTGTATATGGGTCTTAGCACAATTTCCCCACACAGGGACTGCATATAAAAGTAGTGGTCGTAAAATTTGTTTGTATAGCAAAATGGAACATTTCCAGCTTAGCGATGATTGTCGGTTTAACAATGGATAAAGTATCTTTAGTCTCTGATAGCCTTGTTGAAGTTTAGAGGTGATGTGTGGGTTCCAAGTTAGTTTCCTGTCTAATATTACGCCAAGATATTTTATGCTAGGTGACCAGGGAATGTTATTGCCGTACAGTTTTAAATTTCCGGGAGTTTTGGGGCGACGATTAGTGAAAAGGACTGCTGTGCTTTTTTGAGGGTTCAGTTTTATTTTCCATTTATCTCCCCATTTTTGGATGTCATTCAGGTGGTCTTGGATATTTTTTGTCACTGTTTCAACGTCTGTAGAGCTTGAATATATTGCGCTGTCGTCGGCATAAAGTGCTATTTCCGTATTAATCGATGTAGGAAAGTCCGAAACATATAGGTTAAAAAGTAACGGAGAAATTTTTGAACCTTGAGGTACACCTGCATTTATAATTTTTATTTGTGAAGTAGTATCGTTAATTTTGACTTTAAAACAACGAGCAGTGAGGTAGGATTTAATTAGATTGTAAATAGCATTTGGTGTGTTTAACATTTTTAGTTTATATAAGAGTCCGTCATGCCAGACCCGATCAAAAGCTTGGGCTACATCTAAAAAGGCTGCACCTGTATGTTGTTTTTTTTCGTAACCATCGCTTATATGTTCTGTTAGACGTAGGAGTTGTTGGGTAGTTGAATGATTTGATTTGAATCCGAATTGGAAATGCGGAATAGCATTTATTGCATTTAAATAATTGGTGAGCCTGGAATGTATAATTTTTTCAAAAATTTTTGAAACTGATGACAGTAAACTAATAGGTCTGTAGTTACGCGGATCAGTGTTATCTTTGCCTGGTTTTTTGACCATGATGATTGTGGCCAGTTTCCATTCCTTAGGAAAATATCCAATTTTTATTAGGGAGTTGAATAATATGGCTAAATAAGTAATTGCTTTCCTAGGAATATTTTTTAGGATATCATTAGTAATTAGATCGTGACCGGGTGATTTTCTTTTTGGTAATTTTTTTATTATATCTAAAATTTCGTTTGGACAAGAGTAAGGTAAAATATTTTGTGGAAAAATATTGGGCTCACATAGTTTTTGTTTGACCAGATTGTCTGTAGAGTTTTCAATTGCAGAATTGTTTAAAGTGAAAATATTTTCAAGAGTGTGGGCAAACAGTTCACATTTTTCCGAGTCAGTATTTTGGTAAGTACCACTCGCTTTTAAAGGGGGGATTTCATTTGAGTTTGGTTTAATTAATCTTTTAGTCGCTGCCCATAGATTTGAGTCTGCTGGGTGTATAGCAGATAAGTATTTTTGATAACTGTTAATTCTATGTTCTTCTAGTTGTCTTTTAACCTCTTTCGTTAAATAATTTAATTTTTTTCGATCAAGTGGTTGTCTGTACAATTGCCAGAGTCTTCTGGTTTGGTGTTTTGATTTGATTAATTTTACAATGTTGAGGGGAAGTTGATTAGGACTATAATTTATTACCGTATTTTTTTTTTCTGAGCATTCTTCGGCCGCTTGACATATGATTTCACGTAAATGTGTTACTGCAGTGTCTGCGCTGTTAGTATTTAATATATTTTTAGGAATAATTAGATTTGTTGTGATGTGTTGTTTGAATTGTTGCCAATCTGCTTTACCGGTGATGAGTTTGCGAGTAGGAGTTGAGAACGATAAGGACGCATCTAATGTAATTTTAACAGGTAAATGGTCCGAGTCGAGTTCGAAAAGTGGTTCTTGGTGCAAAGAAAAACGAATTGATTTTAGTATAATTACATCTAAAATATCAGGACTTCTACTTTGATCATATGGATAGTATGTGGGTGTGTCTGGAGCTGACAGTATCGCAGGATTGCTTGCAAGGTATTTATAAAGTTTACGTCCATTAGCGTTTATGGATTTACAATTCCAAGTTGTATGCTTACAATTTAGGTCACCTACTAAAATAATTTTTTGATAGCTATTTAATATTTTTTCAAAGTCGTTTATATACATTTGAAAACTAGGTGATTGATAAGCACTAATTATTGTTGTAAATGATTGGTTTATTGTAATAGATATTGCAACTGCTTCGAGAGTTTGTGTAGCAGGTAGATAAGTTAATTGATGTTTTATTTTGGATTTGATTATTATAGCAACACCACCTGAAGGTCGAACCGCTAGCCTATCTTTGCGATAGGTAGTATAACCGTTGAATTTAATTTTATCGCTAGCAATTAGATGCGTTTCACTCACACATGCAATATCAACATTATGAGCCGATAAGAAAGCTGCAAATGTGTTTCGATTTTTCTTGATTCCATTAGCGTTCCAATTTATGATAACTAGATTAAGATTATTTATAATGTTAGACGACATTTATATTATTTAATAGAGCAGGTAGATTTTCGATGACTTTTTTGATAATTTGTGAGACGAGTGTGCTGATTAAGGGCATAAGTGACTTAATAAGTTCGT